CACGGGTGTGTTCTGTAGGGTACAGGAACTCTCTGTAGGGTACCGGGGGTGTCACAGAACTCACAGAACTATTCTGTATTGTGCGAGAGTGCTACAGAACCTCACAGAACTTTTCTGTATTGTGCGAGAGTGTTACAGAACTATTCTGTAGGGTACCGGCGGTGTCACAGAACTCACAGAACTATTCTGTAGGGTACCGAGGGTGTCACAGAACTCACAGAACTATTCTGTATTGTGCGAGGGTGCTACAGAATCTCACAGAACTATTCTGTGTTGTACGAGGGTGCTACAGAACCCACAGAAATATCCTGTATTGTACGAGGGTGCTACAGAACCCACAGAACTATTCTGTATTGTGCGAGGGTGCCACAGAACTATTCTGTATTGTGCGAGGGTGTTACAGAACTATTCTGTAGGATACAGGGGGCGGCACAGAGATATTCTGTAGGGTACGGGGGGTGTTACAGAACTTTGTGTCTACAGAAGAGCCCCCGGTACTTAGGCGGTACCCGTGAATTACCCTACAGAACATGACGAGTTTGACGACGTGCGTGTTTACGACGAAGGCAAAGGAAGAGAGGCAAGGGCGCTATAGCATTGAACAAAATAGAAATCGTACCCAGCACTGAAATTAGCCTATCGTTCAAATCGAATCNCCGTGGCGGCAGACATGTCCTGATATCCTTGGCGGCAATCATGGGAATGTCCTTGAACGCGGGGATACGCTTGTAGTTGACGTGGAGGAACATCACCATCTCTACCCAGTAGGTGTCGATGCGGCTCCTGTTGCGCGTGAGGAGATTAGCGCAACTACTGAAGTCGCGCTCTACCTGCGCGGCACCCGCCTGGTTTCCAAGCACCTGCTGCGCTACTGGCGCCAGGTACTGAAACATCTTGCGACCAGTGTTTCGCCACCAAGGCAGTACTTCCCGCGTGTCCACCTGTCTGTACAGATCCAAGGGTGGCAGGGACGAAGAAAAGAAAACGACACGAAACACATCTGTGCAACTTTGCGCCACCGGGAAAAAAAGTCAAACTGAAACTTCTTGCAGTTCGCATCCCTACTTTGACCTGTGACCGC